AAAATCTTCACAATTTAACATATGCTCTGAAGGAAGCATAGTTATGCAACTTAACTTTAAAATTTTAACACTTAGAAATAAAATTGGATAGATTACATCATTCCAAATTTAAAATATTTTAAGCATCAAAAACTGTTTCATCTCTAAGATAGAATTCTTGCATTTTTTGATGTGATATTTGTATATATGGAGAAGTGATCATCACAATAAATCTAGTCAAAATCTGTCCCCATTCATGTTACAAAACTTTTATTCTTGTAATAACTTTTAAGATCTACCCTCTTAGCAACTTTCAAATATGCAACGCAGTATTAATTTCCTGCATTTTTGGCTCATTATCTTGACTCTCTATACACCTTCCCTTTCATTTTGTTTCAAGTCTTTATTGCTTTTCCCTTTCTAAAGAATAAGAGCCCCCTGGAGGCACAAATGTCCAAAATCACACACTTGGTTCTAATTACTAAAACAGATGCCATTAAAGCAAAAAGCAACTGCAATAATAAGTGAATTTAGAGACGGAAGGAGGAAAGAGAGAGGGAGAGAGAAATAAAGACCAATACTTTTGCTAATACAACCTAGAAAATCTCCTAAAGCCGAAGACATCTGGAGGGAGATCTGATAAGGAGAAATAGCTCCATTTTCAAAGTAGGGATTTAAGCTAATATCCTTAAACTTATCAACTGATGATTTAATCTCGTAAATGGTACAAAAGCTTTTTTTCACTTTCCCTGGGAAAATTGTTTTGGAAGCCAAGATTCATTTTCCAGGTCATATGTTCTTTCTATCAAGATGAAAAGATACAAGATGCTTCGTCTAAACTCTTATATACGTTTCTAAATCCATGGTATAGGCCTCTTGTGCACATGTACGTGCTAAATTGCTTCAGTCGTGTCCAACTCTGTGGCCCTATGGACTGTAACCCTCCAGTCTGCTCTGTTCATGGGATTCTCCAGGCAAGAATACTGGAGTGGATTGCCATTTCCTTCTCCAGGGGATCTCCCTGCCCCAGGGATCGAACCCGCGTCTCTTACGTCTCCTGCACTGGCAGGCAGGTTCTTTACCACCAGCACCACCTGGGAAGCCCAAAAGCCTCTTACTGGGAACAAAAATTACCCAAACCTTCATTTAAAAGACACCAGCCATTGTTCTATGTAGATAGAGCAGTGAAAAACCTACTATCTGCACATTATAAAACCACATTGCAAAATGTACATGTAACATGGACAATTAAAACCAGTGCAGATTCTCTAAAGACTGGGGAAGAATAGCCGAGGGCATCTACATTTTCTTAGCACTTTAAAAATGTGACTTGTTTCCGTGTTCAACATGTGTTGGTTATTTTCACCCCCACAGATGAACCTATTGTTGAAAACTATTTGTGGGGACTTCCCCAGTGGTCCAGTGGTTAAGACTTTGCTTTCCAAAGCAGCAGGTACAGCCCCTGGTCGGAGAGCTAAGATCCTACAAGCCTCACAGCCAAAACACTAAAAAACTCAAAACAGAAGCAGTATCATAACAAATTCAGCAAATACTTTAAAAATGGCCCACATCAACAGCAAATCTTTTAAAGAGATTGTTGAAAATATGGGGGGGAAATCTTTTTAAAAAAAAGAGAAAACTTTCTACAAAGGCAAAAACACTGATAATTTGACTTTTTAATAATGGTTGCTTTCCTGTAAAACATGGACATGCTGATTCAGCCTCTTGTGTTTCCATGTTTCCATGAGTGAAATAACCTGAAGAGACGATGGTCCCCTTTCTCTTGAGGGAAAACTGCTAAATTTAAAGATTTTCAAAAAATAAATTGAGAGCAGGAGCTAGGATTTTCATAAGCTAATAAGAGCCGCACAGAAAATAAGCAAGTAACATTTCATAAAAGCCTTTAATTGAAAATGATTCATGAAAAGTTTAACATGAGTCCTGTTTCTTAGTGGGTTTTAAAATAGTACAGAGACATCTATTTTGTAACTTCCATCATTCATTCACCAATATTTATTAAGTGTCTTGTCTCTCAGACCTAGTTATTGGGGATTGAAAAAAATAAACTAGTAAGACATAGCCCATGGCCTTGATGGTTTTGCAATCTAGTATATACTGATTAAAATAAACCCTCTATTATTAACGTTCACATGTATGGCATGCTTTTTCAGGCTAGCTTTTTCCTTTGGTGCCTGGTAAAGAATCTGCCTGCAATGAAGGAGACCTGGGTTCAATCCCTGGGTCAGGAAGATTCCCTGGAGAAGGGAACAGCAACCCCATTCCAGTATTCTTGCCTGGAGAATTCCATGGACAGAGGAGCCTGGTGGGCTACACAGTCCATGGGATCACAAAGAGTAGGACACGACTGAGCGACTAACACTTTCACTTTTTCATACAACAAGCATTCACTAAACATCCATTGACTGCATTTTACCCTGGCTTCCCCATTTCATGGTCACTGGAAAGGACTGAACAAACTTAAAGATAAAATCAAAACCATAAAGATAAATCTTAATATGAACCCACATGTTGCAGAAAGCTAATGAGGCCAAAGAAAGTTACATGACTTGCCCAAAGTCAAGAGCAGAACTGGGACAAGAATCTAGGACTCCGGGCTTCCAGCTAATTATCATTTAAATCTTTGAAACCTTAAGCCCCCTCCACTTTCTTCTCTGTGGAATTGACTCCTTCATTTCACCTGCTCTTTTAACTTAGTCACACGCGTCTCTCTTCTGACCCTGTAACCATCTAGCAGCATCTTCTAAGCCCTCACACAAGTTTGTACTGTCTCCTTAGCTGTGAACTCCACATGACCTATAATTCTAATGCGACACTTCGTATGGACTTTGAAATGAACTGGAGCTCCCAGGAGGAAGACAGAGCTCTGGTCATGAATCTGAAACTTGATCCCATCCACCCCGTTTCAGAGCAGCCCAGCAAGTGTTCCTGCAGAGGTGAGTGGATCCCAGGAGGAGGGAAAATCAGTCACTCCTCCAGCCGTGTCCCAGCCAGCCCAGCTGCCCACAGCATCACCCAACACTCATGTGCTCACCCCACTGAGACCACGCTCAGAGTGAAACCAAAAAGAGCCTGTCTTCACAAAAAACATGAAAAGGTCACAATTCTGACAGCATGCCTCCTTGGTCAACCCCCTGGATTATACAGACCATGGAATTCTCCAGGCCAGAATATTGGAGTGGGTTGCCATACCGTTCTCCCGGGGATCTTCTCAACCCAGGAATTGAACTCAGGTCTCACACATTGCAAGCGGGTTCTTTACCAGCTGAGCCACCAGAGAAGCCCTAGTTTATCACACTTTTATCCTAAAATCTTGTAGTAATGCAAAATGCTTTAAGTTACTTTTATACCATCTCTCACCTGGTAATGCAAGGTAAGTAAGCTGGAGCTCCCAGGAGGAAGACAGAGCTCTGGCCATGAATCTGAAACTTGATCCCATGAAACTATTAATAATTTTTTACATACTGTTTATTGGTAAAATTGTGTGTGTGTGTGTTCTCTTGGATACCAGTGAAACATCTTTTTGAAAAAGTGATCTGTGACTAAAGGCAGTTAGTAATAAATGTGAACAAGAGTTGGAGACACACGAATAAGAGAGATCACAAGTAGGTGATAAAAATGTTAATCAAGCACTTTTAGCTGGAACACAGGATGGCAAAATTTACCTTTCTCAATAAGAACACTCATGAAATATTTTCTCTCAAAACAGGTATCCTTATAGCACAATTGTCGGGAGCCGCCGGGATGCGCCCAGTCCGTGACAAGGTCACGGGACGAGAGAGGAATCTGCAAGGCAGCTCTTCCCCTCGAGGTTGTCCCAGGGGCCCAGTATGTCTCTTTCCTCTTTCTGTCTTACTATTGTTGGGCTTTCTATTAATTTTTGGAAATGTAATATATAGTAATAAGGCCTCCCTGGAAAAGTCCAAGCCTTTTTGGAAATGCTCATGATTGCTCTGGCTCAGGACACGACCATAAACATCAAGTCAAAAAAGAAAAGGCCACAAGCATAGTTTGGCTGCTTGCTTAAAAGATTATAATGTTCTAGAATAGAAAAGAGTAGGGGCATTTAGATTTAGAAGTAGATACACTGCTTCAGTTTACTTGCTCCTTGATTGAGAGGGTTTTCATTATTGCTATTTCCTTGCTGCTATTTGTCCATTGTTTCCCTTTCTTGAAACAACATGGAAGATTATGGGTATTTTTGTAGAGTTAAGAAATGGGATACATAGGATTTCAATAGAAGATTTATATCAACCAGCTTCACTGCCATTCCCTCACTATTAATAGAGGTGTTTTGCCGCTTCATAGTTAATCATTGTAAACTTTGTAATTTTAGGTAAAGAAAATATCAGGGTTTTCACATGGTACTATTCTCAAAAATATCAAAAATGTTTGCGTAGTAGCCCTTCCCATGTATTGTCTTATTGTCTAAAGAATTCATACTATACCTGAAATCTGTAGAACATTGTTTTTGTTAGAGTGAAAATGTTAGGCCATTGAGGCAAGAAGACTATGTACAGGACATTTAAGAAAAAACGCTGTAATCGGAAACATTCTAGATGAACGCATAGGGGAAAAACATGGGAAAGAAAAATATTGACAGGAGCACGAAACCAATATCTGATGTAATATCTGGTGACTTAAGTGGGAGGTAACATTCATTCTATAAAAACTGAGCTGTCCTAAAAATAAAGAAGCTACCTCTTCTACGAAACCTTCTGTGTGTGTCTGTCTTCTTCCTCGCCGACGCCACTCATTCCTTGGGTGTTCCTGGACCCGCTGGGGCTGGACCCCGGCACACAATTGCTAATTACAACTAAAAATTAAGCATGAAAAACACCAGCATCTCTCGTACACAGAAAGTTTTCTTTGAAAACTCTCATATATGACAATATTCTATGAGTCCAGGAAAACAAATGGATCTACTTACAAATTAAAATTGTATCACAGCCTTAAGATAATGATCATCAGTAATAACAATATAATAATAATAACAAACTTACCACTGTTTGGGATTGTTTGTGGTGAACTCTTTAACTTGGCATTTTGTTTCTCTTTCGTGGGTTTTTCTGAATTCACATCTTTTTTCCCTTTCCTCTTTGGAGGCTGAGGAGATGAGTTGTCGCTGGATCCAACTGTTGACTTAGACTGGCGATCATTTCCCTATGTGGCAAAAGATGAACTCTTACTACTGGCTGATGAACTCCTTGAGTGATAACTACAAGTCACTAACGTGGTAAAAAGGGGCAGAGGCCAGAGGCGGGTGTTCTGTGCTGATCCTACTTCTGTCCATTACCTACATTAAACTCTTCTGGGTGGCAGATGAGGGGTGTACCAGGGGAAGGAGAATAAAAATAATAGCACTTGAGGGACCTCTCTGGCAGTCCAGGGGTTACAACTTCTCCTTCCAATGCAGGGTGTGCAGATGTAATCCCTGATCAGGGAGCTAATTTCTCACATGTTTTGCAGTCAAAAAAAAAAAGAAAATCCAAAACATAAAACAGAAGCAATATTATAACAAATGTAAAAGACTTTAAAAAATGGTCCACATCAAAAAACATTTTTAAACAAATAATAGCACTTGACAACTGTATTGATATATACCAGGTGTTGCTATGAAACTGTCTCACTCAGTCCTCATAATCTGAGAGACAGGTACTGTTATCACCCCCGTTGTACAGACAAGCAAATGAGGCTGAGAGGTGAAGCCTGGCCAAGGTCACACAGCCAACAAGGAGCAGAGCCAGTCGGCTGTCTCAACCATCCTCTCCCTCCTGCACCTTTCAGAAGAATCAGCAGATAGCTATTGGGTGAGGAATGATGACAAAACCCAGTTTGATCAGCTAATCGAGAAATACCTTCTTAACAGTGAGCACACAAGTATCATCACATAAGCAGACCCACACTGTGCTTACAGAAAACCTCCGATATTAACTCATCTGTGGATGACTTCCACCATCTCTATGAACCACAAATCCGGAGCAACATAGACGCGAGCAGCTCAAGACCACATACCCCCGCCACCGTTCTTGCAAGGCAGCCCCCGCTGCCCACACTGTGGTGGTTGCCTCTGATTCCCACGTGCATCTCGAAATGAAACCTTGCATCTGCAGAGGGGGCTTCCCAGCATGACAGTGAGGTTGGGCTCAGCGGCTGCTGCGGCGGGCGCGTGTGCAGTTCCTGGGGAGCCGCATGAGAGCCACTACAGTAGTGGCCACTGTACCCAAGGAACAGCTCTCTGTGCTGATTCTCAGCGCAAGAAATTCCCTCCTAACAAGACAGCCTCGGCCTTAGGACACTCAGGTGCTACACTTTCCCGAGTGTGTGAGGTGTGAGGCTGCAGGTAGCAGAAAGAATGCAAGTTTTAGAGACCCTGACTCAGAGTCACTGCACTGCCACCAACCATCAATGGGACCTTGGGATAACTAGTTCCTACCTTCTTGGAACCTATTTCCTTATCGATTCAGTTCAGTTCAGTTCAGTTCAGTAGCTCAGTCGTGTCCGACTCTTTGTGACCCCGTGGATCCCTTATCAACTGAATGGGGTTAATGTGCCTGCTGCTAGATCTCTTACATGAAATGAATGGAATGAAATGAAATGGTAACACTTATAAAGTAACCGGTACTGTGCCTGGCAGGCTTCCCTTGTGGCTCGATGGTAAAGAATCTGCCTGCAATGCAGGAGACGTGAGTTCGATGCTTGGGTGGGGAAGATTCCCCTGGAGAAGGAAATGGCAGCCCATTCCAGAATTCTTGTTTGGGAAATCCCAGGGACAGAGAAGCCTGGCAGGCTACAGTCCGTGGTGTTGCAAAAGAGTTGAACACGACTTACCGACTAAACAAAACAAACAGTGTCTGGCATGTAGTTTTATTCAAAGACTATCAGAGGGCTTCCTCCAAGAGCAGAGAGTTAATATCTTTTTCTTAAAAATCGTATCAAATTTACACCATATTGGGTGCAATTTTATGCAACATCTGTACTATGCTAGTATCTGAAAATAAATGTAGTAATGTTAAATAAACAAATCTGCCTAGAAACCTATTATAACTGCTCATTTTAAACATTTAGATATTCAGTCATCCAGAAGTGTTTAAATAGCTTTAGCTATCACCCAATTAAGAATAGAAAATTTCACAGCCTTATAAATGAAGTTATTTATGCTATTTTGTCATAGCCTACAAGAAAATGAATTATGCATAGATTTATTAACATTATGAAAACTTGTCCAAATCTATAACATTTTTTGCATAATTTAATTTCCTATTCCAATTGCAATTCAAACATACAGTTTCCACTTAATTATTGCATTAACTGCAACCAGAGTTGGGTTTTTTCCTTTCCTTTTCTTCAGTGATTATTTCTTGCAAAGCCATAAACTGCCAGACAGGAGAAATGGCTAATATGATTACAGCGGAGATTCCAAAACCATCATATGAGAAGGAACCATCAGCCTGGTCTCACATTCTAGTCTATTTTCAAATTAGTCTGTTCATCTCAGTACTCTTGCCTGGACAATGCCATGGATGGAGGAGCCTGGTAGGCTGCAGTCCATGGGGTCGTGAAGAGTTGGACACGACTGAGCGACTTCACTTTCACTTTTCACTTTCATGCATTGGAGAAGGAAATGGAAACCCATTCCAGTGTTCTTGCTGGAGAATCCCAGGGACGGCGGAGCCTGGTAGACTACTGTCTATGGGGTTGCACAGAGTCGGACACGACTGAAGCATCTTAACAGCAGCTATTCATCTCAAGATTCTAAAATTTTAAAAGCCTTAAATGAGAGGAGTAACCCTTCTAGCAAGCCTACTAGAATGTTCAGAGATGCTGTTCCACTTATCAGGACTAAAATGAAACAAAGAAAGCAAAACTCTGGATCTCATCATGAGAGGTTTTTGTTTTGTTTTGTTTTGTTTTGTTTTGTTTTTTTAAACAGCTCTCTGGGAAAAGCCTTAGTCACAAAAGGGGTAAAACAAGGGAAAAGCAGATGCTCCACCCNTAATTGTTTTGTAATTAGAAAACTGGAAAGAATTTAAATGTTTTCTATTTTAAAAAGAAAACACGTTGTATAGCACACGGAACTCTACTCAATATTCTGTGATAATCTAAGTGGGACAAGGATCTGAAAAAAATGGATATATAATATATATATCACTTTGCTATACACCTGAAGCTAACACTGTAAATCAACTATTCTCCGATATACAATAAAAAAAGAAAACAAGATTCATCTAAAAAATAAAAATGTGTATAATAAATTAATACAAATATAAATAAGTTATATAGTATAAATTGTATACTTATCTATTTACATAGTTATATAAATAATACATAGACAAATTATATATAGAGAGAGAAGGGCAGAGGGATCTTCCTTTCTTTTTTGAGATTTCTACATATGACTCGTAAATGGATAGTCATTGCTATTTATGGGACATATGGAATAAGATTGTCATCTCATACTGCTACGTTAGTTGATAACATTACTGAGTACCTCTTGTGTGCTAAATACTCATAAACACAAATACTTACCAAATGCATAGAAAGGCATTTTTTCAGATAAAGGAATTAACTTTCTCAAAGTTACCCAGGTTTGATTTTTCTACTACTATTTTTCAGATAAAGGGATTAACTTTCTCAAAGTTATCCAGGCTTGATTTTTCTACTACACTGAAGCTTCCTAGTCCCCAAGGGACTAGAAACAGCTATCATATGGTTTGGTTCCCTTAAAAAGTCACCTGGAAGTAACAGATTACGATTTTATCCCAAAGTGGAAGAAATCAAGCAGCAGCCTCATTCTACAGGGCATCCCGTGCAAACACTAGACCCTATGTGATCATTCAAGCACTGTCCTGTTTTTCCTCACACACATATCAAAACACCTGATAGAAATAGCAAACCTCTGGCTCAAACCAACAGAAAACTAAAAAGAGCCCTTCGATCACCCCCTTACTCTACTCAAATTGGGATTGTTTTAGATAATTCCCTAGGCTCTTACCAACAAGATCCAGTCAACTCAGGTTTCTGTCATTACCACGGTAAACTCACTTTAAACCTTCATGAAATGTGCCAAAGACACAAAAGCCATAATACATCACAAAATCCCTTGTAAAGTGATTTTGTGAGAGATTTGCCGCACACAGCAGGACTCACAGTGTGTGTGTTTCAGTAAAGCATCCAGGAGACCTTGTGAGCAGGGGACCACACTCAGACTCAGGCTGGTGTTTCTCTACGTATGTGCTGATGGGACGTGTGAGAAACCTTTTTATCCAAACTGGACACAGGTTCCCGAAAGGCAAAATGGAGTTCTGGAAGCTTCAGAATTGACCTTTCACCGTGACGTTGTGATACATGGATAATCACGTTTTCTCACCAAAACCTGAACAATTGCCATATTTGAATCTGTAAATTGCTGATCACAAGATGTATTAGCCTCTTGGGAATTAAGGACAACTGAGGACAACGTAAGGTAGTCTTTGGCTCCAACTTTCAAACACGTCCCTGATTTTATGTCTCTTCCACTAGAGGGTGCTTGGACTCTGTGCTGAAACCTCACAGCTAGAGGACAGCCTCCCCGCTGGTGGGTTAATTTTTCAAACTTAATAGAATTTCAGAGGATTCACTTATCTTTTCCTTTTGTTTCCCAGGCTAGAATCTCAAAGTACTTGCTTCTGTGACCCCCAGTCTGTATGAGGGGTGACTTCTGATCTTTTCCTGCTTTGCACAAGGCATTCCCTGGCTGTTTTGAAAGGGTTGCAGGATCCTCCACCAAACCCCCTCACTTTTACCCCAAACCCCATTACCCATATTTCCTATCAAAGGATGGGGCCTTGCTGACTCATCACATCTGCACAGCAGGTCTTCTATGGGGAGTATAGCAGCTTTCTCTCTCTCTTTTTTAAGTTCTATAAGGCCCCCACCCACACTTCCCTTCATTATGCAATACAGCCGTTCCTAGAAAGCTTGAGGAGAAAAGAATTCCTAAAAGTCCAACTCTGGGTCCCCTTTGATTTGCATCACGAGTTCAGGGATGCCTTCCCTTGGACTGAACAGGAAGCAGTTCCCTAAGTTGTAAGCCAGCTCAGCCAGCATCCCCTTCACGCACACTCACCCCCATGCAGTGTCAAGCAGTTAAGGATCTTGAAAACACATACATTCTCCAGGGAACCAATTAATTAAAGGAAAGGAGCAAATTGATCCTTCTCTTAAAAACTGAGTCTGTGACTTTGGAATGCTCAGTGTAGAATATTCTCTCCTTGTGGTTCACGGCCACTCACACATCCACTAGACAGGTTTCGTGGAAACTTACTGTGTGCCTGGCAGGTTACACCCCNTATTCTCTCCTTGTGGTTCATGGCCACTCACACATCCACTAGACAGGTTTCGTGGAAACTTACTGTGTGCCTGGCAGGTTACACCCCACTGCTGAATAAAATCTCCTACCAGAGGCCCACCTTGGCCACCCAGGGGGTACTGCACCCACTCTAACTTTCTCCCCCTGTACATGTTTCTTCAAGTTTATCCCTGATTAATATCAACTGTGTATTTGTTTGTCTTTTTCCTCCTCCAGAATGGAGGCTTCAGACATTTACGGTTTTCTCTGGAATCTCTGCCTCCCCTTCCCCACAAGCACTAAAACCAGTTCAGTTCAGTTCAGTCACTCAGTTGTGTCTGACTCTTTGTGATCCCATCGACTGCAGCACGCCAGGCCTCCCTGTCCATCACCAACTCCCAGAGTTTAATCAAGCTCATGTCCACTGAGTCGGTGATGCCATCCGACCATCTCACCTTCTCTGGTCCCCTTCTCCTCGTGCTCGGGACATAATCTGGACTCGATAAATGGCCCCTGGGTGAATGCAGCCATCAGTGACAACATTAATGTCGCCTGCTGCCTCGGGTCCCAGTCGCCCGCATCACTCAGGACTCCAGCCATCCCACTGCCTCCTGCTTCTATTCTAGCCCCACCCACTTCTCTGCACACACCACAGCCAGAATGATCTTTTAAAAATAGAAATCAAGTGCTATCACTCCCTTCCTCTGCCCCTCAAATGGTGTTCCAGTAAAGAATCAAATCCAAACTCCACCATGGCCTGCACCATTGGGCCCTGCCTGCCTCTCCAGTCTCATCACAGACCACCCCAGCCTGCTTTCTGTCCTCTTTCTTTATGCCAAAAGCTCTTTTCCGAGGGCCTTTGTGACTGTTTTCTCTGGTATGGAGGCTTTCTCCCCTGCCCCCACCTCGTATGGCTGGCTGCTTTAACTCATTAAAGTCTCAGTCTCAGAGCATTTTATATCAACAAGTGCCTGCCACATTTTATTGTCCTCATGGCACTTATAACCACCTGAAATTATATATTTGTTTAGAGATTGATCATCTGTCTACCCCCATCCTTCCACCACAGACAAAGGCACCAGAACAAAAGTTCCGTGCAGTCTGAAAGCTTGTCACCAATCTATGCCAGCTGCTTGAAGGAAATTCCTAGCACTCAGTAGGTGCTTGTTAAACATGTGTTGGATGGATGGCTGGAGGACCAGATAAATGGACAGATGAATCTACAGAATGCTTCGTGAGAAAGCACTGTGAAAAAGGGGACGGACTCTGCTATCCCTGTGTTATTCTAAGCCGGAGCATGGCAATATAATGCTGAGTCTTTGCTTGCGTATGAGATGGAAACTCATCTCAAAACATAACTTTGAGTCCTTAAAGTTTGTGTCCTAAAAGAGGCCTTTTCCTGACACATATCTAAATTCTCCTTTTACTTTCCTGCATATTGTGCCATCCTTTTCTCTCATTTTAATCACACTTTGCAATTATACACTGCTTTGTGGTATTGTTTGTATAACTTTGTCTCCTTGAGTAGGACAGAGCTAAGAGAGAGTGTTGTGTCTTTTTGCTCAATACTACCTCCCTGGGGCTTAGTTCAAGGCCCGACACACGGAAGACATAGCCAATCATCATTAGGTAACCCAGTATTCACAGCACAGATTCTAAAGAACTTCCATACAAGAGAGCAAGAAAGAGGTACATATATGCCTCCTGTGTATGGATTTGAAAATTGGAAACATTTTTAATTAAAAAAATTAGACATTCTAAATTTCAGAAGAATAATAAGCACCTAATCCCAAAGTTCAGTCATTGTGAATGTAAAGACCTGAGTCCTGATCTTGGTTCTAACATGAACTTTCCTGTGATCTGGGTCAGTTATTCAACCACACTTGGTCTCTATTTAACCATCACCTTTCCAGCTGTACTGTAAAGGTTAATGAGTTCCTACATGCATGGTACATGGAAGAGATTCCACTCCACAAAGTCCTGAAGAAGAACAGAAGGGCAGTTTCCCAACTCTAAATTCCTGGGCTTTATTTAGCTTTACAGGCTTCCCAGGTGGCGCTAGTGCTAAAGAACCTGCCTGCCAATGCAGGAAACTAAGAGACACGGGTTCGATCCCTGTGACGGGAAGATCTCCTGCAGGAGGGCATGGCAACCCACTCCAGTATTCTTGCCTGGAGAATCCCATGGACACAGGAGCCTGACAGGCTACAGTCCATAGGGTCGCAGAGAGTCAGACACACTGAAGTGATTTTGTATGCAAGCACACATTTAGCTTTATGATGGTTACAATATATTTTTCAGTTACTGGAATACTCTCTCTCCCCTTGCTCTCCACATCCATGAAGTTATGGGTCCTCTGTGGCTCTCACTGTGAGCTCTGCACCCAACCCTCTCTACTCCCACTTCCCCATCCTCCCACTCAACAGCGTGATGAAGCCAGCTCCTCGCCGGGCTGTGCGGGGTACGAGGAAAGAACCTCACCATGACATGCCTCTGCTCTTTGACTATGACGTCACATGGATGAACTTGCAAATTTTCATCTGATGTCCTCAGTCTCTGCCATTTACTACTACTTGCTGAACAGTCTGCAGCTAGATTCCGTGATGACACTGACAACTTAATGCATCAGAAATTAAGCAGGTCATTCTTTCCTCTAGCTGCCCTCTAATTAGCCATAGTACCACCATTTTCTCAGGCATCCAAGCTCAGAAACTTGGTCGAGGTCAGCACTATTTCTTCACGCAAAAAAAAAAAAAAAACAAATTCAAGAATGTCATGTGACGTTACAGAAAAGGAGGAGGGGAAGGAAATATCTAAATCATCATTAGGAGACAATATCATTGTCCACTAGCCACTTATTTTACAAGACACCAGTGTAACAGTTCTGCTTATTTAATTCAGAAAGGGAAAATGTCAGGTCAATTCTGACCTCTACAGGTCAGGAAATTCAACCAAAAGAGCAGAAAGAGAAGTTTCAGCCAAGAAGACCTGTCAAAGCAATACGCCAGCAGGACATGAAGCTCATCCCCATGAGGGGGTACAGACAAAAAATACAAACAGGTTAAGACATTACCTACTAAATGCTTGTCACGTAATGGGTATTCAATAGATATATGCTGAATTAACAGATGAATGAATGGTGGATGAAAACGATTCTGATAAGGAGCTAAATATTTAGAGTGATTCTCAACCATTTTAAAAAATGTAACTGAGGACTGCCATTCTGTTACATACGTTTTCTTTTTAGTCTTTTGTCAGTTACAGAAAACTACACTGGCAGACCAGTGATGTGCCCTAAAACAGCATTTCTTCTCATTTATGTATTATTGCCTAGATTTCAAGCTGGTATAAATTTTATCAAGCCTATATATTAGGAAAAAGATACCTCTTTTAGAATCCACATTTTCAAAATATCAGCTCTCTTTTAGAAACCAGGTTGTAACATTAATGTTCTAGTGTTGTTTCACATAATTGCTCACATGCCACAAGGTGGCTAAATTTTATTTCTTCGAATTTAATTGAAACCCAAAGGACAGTCTCTCTGTTATTGTACAGAAATACAGAACATTAATGAGTAAAGTATCTGATACTTACACTGCCTTTAGACTTTCTGGATCCTACAATTGGAGGTAGTGAAGAGGTTTTCTGACTGTGAAAACAAATTGCAATTTAGAAATCTGAATATTATTCACAAATAATATACAAGGCAAGATAATTATCATCTCAGTGTATCACTCCAACCTGGAACTCAACTATTTGTAGACATCAGTATTCCACAAAAAGTACCACTGACTTTCCCAATTTCACAAAGACCACCAAAACATTTCCAAATTCCATTCCAAAAGATTATGTTTTTTTAATTGGAGTATAATTGCTTTACAATGTTGTATTAGTTTCCACTGTCCAAAAGATTCTTAATGTTTTCTTGTATAGCATTTTAGTTGATGCTTACAAATAAATTTAGTACCACTTTTAACTTTTTCATACCACTTAAAATCAAATCCCTAAATTTATAATTTGTATTTCAAAAAAAAAAGGCATTTCCAAGCTGCGTGATGATTTTGCCAGATTGTGTTTAAAACTAAAAATGATGAAGTTTTTTTATCGTGTCTATCATATCTGGTAGAAACACAGAATGGTAAAACACTGGCATTTATATTCAGGAAGTTTCCAAGCCAGTCACTCTTACCAAAAAATTTAAAAACTGCTCTTTGGCTCTAAGTACTTCCCAGATGTTTCTTTGCAGGAAAAGATCCAACTCGAAACCCAACTGAACCTCTCTGACAATAAGAAGCCACGGAGGTAAAGGCAAATTTCGCGGACCTGCCAGAGAAAGGCCACCATGAGCAAGTTTTCTCACTGCCATCAAGTACAAGCACAAGATCTCACTGCAGAATGTACTGCAACCCACAGCAGTCTACCCCAGCATCGCTTCTCAGAGCGACCTTGTGAAGGACTTGATTTCATGGATGGGTAAGGATGGTTGGCAGTAAGTCTGGTAAATAGTTCTAAAGTGCTAGAAAGCAATGCGCTCTTTGCGATACTTCAAACACGACCCCTGAAATTCCATTCCACCTATTCCGTATTGAGAAACCCTGGGCTAGTCTCTCCATCAAGTTACACGGGATTGCAAATCAATGGAGAACACACTTATGACATTGTGCTCTATCTCTGTCACATGTCACGCATCCGACTAGAAGCAACTACACAACGTCAGTTTTCTAGCCAAGTAGACACGGAAAAGCAGCGGCAATGGACCGCAGGGCACTGTGAGCAAGCCCGAGGGTCCCTGCAAGCAGGGGCTGAGGCTCCTCATGCAACGCGTGCCTGGGCAGTCCACCTGCTGGGCTGAAAGAAGGCATTCTTCACCAGTGTCCTACATCTCATAGAGCAAAAGGGTTCTCTGTGCACTGTGTGTAAGAGTAACCTTTAAAATTTTGCCTGAAATAACTATACACCCAGTGCTCCACTTATTTGTGTAAAAGAAATATCATTTCTATATTTTACCATTATTACTTTTAAGTAGAAAATATTATTTTTTAACCACCTGTAGATGTTCTTCTACGCACCAACTAAGAAAATTATTCAATCAAGTTAACGTTTTTAAGACTTCTAAAAGCCTGTGTCGCAGAGAAGCTCACTGCCCTGTACCTTTTTCACAAAAATAAATCTTTATATTTATTACAAATTCATAAGTGAGTGGCTAAAAAATACATAGTCTATCATAGCTTCCTCAATATTATATTTTTATGCAATAGTTCTCAACCTCCAATCACAGCAAAATAAACAGCGATCAACATGTATCGGACATCCTTTCCTTTCTAACCGATAAACAAGATTCTAAAAAACAGACCCGGGGCCAGCATAAGATTCAATGCTATTTCAAGTGATAACTAAAATATGAGACGTGAGTGAGGATGCAAACGTACCCGTAAGACTTTCTCATCGTCGACTTGTCGAAAAGTAATTCACTGTAAGGCAACTTCTTAAACTTATCTCTGCCGACAGCCACATAAAACTGCCCATTCTCCAGCTCTGCCCCACTCTCAACCAGTTTTCCTTCTAAAGTGTAGAGTCTGCCAAAATATGAATGCCAGCAATTAAAATGTTAACAAGCATTTCAAGAACCGCTAAAATCACAGTCAGTTAAAAACTCCATTCCTAAATTGGCTCATTTGATACTATGCTAAACACTGAATTATAAATGTCTCAAAGTCATAAGACTCAGCTAAATACCAATGCAGATGCAATTACGGTCTAGCTGTACAGAACCTGGCAGTCTAACATAAGGATCCCTTACTGCTGCCATATTTAGAGTTTAGAGGGAGAGAATTAACTTGTAGAGAATGTGTGTGTATGCTCGGTCATGTCCGACTCTTTTGCAACCCCATGGACTGTAGCCTGCCAGGCTCCTCTGTCCATGAAATTCTCCACGCAAGATACTGGAGTAGGTTGCCGTTCTGAGAATGTCATACTTTAAATGAAGCTTGGCTTCCACTGAAGTTTGATTCTTCTTTTTATATCCCGTGAGCACTTAGAAAATTTATTTTCTTAATGCACTATTCAGGTTAACATCCACGTGCAGCCCTCAGACAGAATTTTACATACAAACACAAAGAACTAGGTCAGAAAACAAGAGGTGCGAGGGCAGGAGGTAAAAGAACCCATTTCCAGTATTAATGATGCAGAACTGCATAGCGTTCATGCTTCTCTTTTTTTGCCTTCCGTCATCTTCCCAGAATCAAGGGATTTCACAAGAACCTCCCTTTACTGTAAAACTGCTGCTGCAAACTACAATGTGTTACTTATTAAGAGAACAGTGATAACCTTGCTAGACGATTTAAAGTGTCCACACAGTTTGTTTAAAGAGCAAGAAAAAAACAGACGGTTTAGAAAACCACACCACAAAGAAGACAATGCATGTTTTTGAAGGTAATAAACAAGAGTTAGTAACTGGAAAGATTTTAAGAGGATCGTTTTAAAAGTTCTCAGACTTCTTATATCACAAAATTAAGGGTAGTGACATTTGCAAAGAAAAAAAAATCCATTGATCTGTCTGCTTATTTACTGATTATGTGAAAGGCCGTATCATATGGAGTCAAAAAGGAAAATAAAAGCAGCCACTTAACCCCCTAAAGTGTGTTAGTGTTGAGTTAGTAGGAAGATGCTAAAGTGACGATTTTTTAACCCTACAAGTCTAAATACCAACACTTAACCCAGATAATCTGGTTTTCCTGCCTTCACCTAGACCAGGGCCTCTGGACATTATTGATGTTTTGGATCTGATAATTTTAGGAGAGGTGGGAGGCTGTCCTGGGAATTGTAGGATGTTAACAGCACCCTTGGCCTCTACCCACGAGATGGGAGTAGTAGCCACCTCCATTCCCTAGGACTCTGGACACTGCCAGCAGCCTCTAGTGGTAACTGCCCCTGGGGGAGAACCTGCTGGAAACCAACCCCTAGATGGAGGCCTAGACCCAGAGGTTCTTCTCTCGTTTACTTCAAAATAGGAAGATCTGAATCCGTCATTAACTTTTACATCTAGAAATTAAAAGACAGCAAAGTGGTGGATCTGGCAACAGCTAAGATTTGACTGGTTTTCTCTACAGACAGGTAAAGGATAAATAAATTGAATAAATTTATAAATAAACTAAATAAATTTATAAATAAACTGAATAAATTTATAAATAAACTGAATAAATTCTAGCCTGTGAACTTAGCCTTCTTTTATGCGACTCTTGCTGACCCGCTTTCTTCCTTTGCTACAGAACATGAGAATTATAAACAGGGAGTTGAATGAATTTGTGTGGAATGTTTTTGATATGTATACCGATGCCCAGGAATGGTCCAAACATAAGAATTACTCATGTTCTGTTTAGCTCAGTTGTCAGGAATCTGCCTGCAATACAAGAGACCCAGGTTCAATTCCCAGGACAGGAAGATCCCATGGAGAAGGAAATGGCAACCCACTCCAGTATTCTTGCCTGAAGAATCTCATGGACAGAGGAGCCTGGCAGGCTGGTCCATGGTGTTGCAAGAGTCGAAAACAATTTGGCAACTAAACCATCACCAGGTGTTTTTAAACCACCATGTTCTGTTAAGGGAGGGTGGGGGTGTCCCAAGTGAGCAACATGCAAATCTCACTCATGTCTGGCATTACACTAAGAATTAAGCTTCTCCAACATGGAACTCCGCTTAGTGTTATGTGGCAGCCTGGGTGGGAGGGGAGTCTGGGGAGAACGAATACATGTGTCTGCACGGCTGAGTTCCTTTGTTATCACCTGAAACTATCACAAGATTGCTCACTGGCTATACCCAAGTCAAAATTAAAAGTTAAAAAAAAAGAAGAAGAATTAAGCCTCTCCAAGTATTCACATGTTCAGGGGACATTTATATTCTCATTTCTGTGTTTGTCTTTGCTTATATTTTATTTCTATTTATCAATTTGTTCACGTCAATATATGTGTGAATAGGTGTATCTGGGCATGCAGTTGTGTTTATATATCTTTGTGTGTTTCAGAGCATTTATTGAGTGGGTTTACATCTGTGTACGTGTTAAAAGGCAAAACGATATATCTTTTTTAAAAAATCAATATAAAACTAATGAGACCTGCCTTTACTCCTGATGCCAAAGTAAAATCCAAAAGGATCAAAGGTTTAAACGAAAGTTAAAAGTTGAAAGATGAAAACATGGGATAATTTTTTTTATAATCTAGGAGTGAAGAGAACCTAAGCTAATCATAGAACTTAATGACTGTAATGAAAGACTAAAAATTTGACTGCATCAAAATTTAACATAACTGCATGAGAAAAGCAACATAAAGAGCAACAAAAATATAAACTGGAAAACAACCCTACAAGGTAAGAACAATTATATGCCCATTTTATAGATAGAGAAACTGAGGCACACAGAGACAAACTAGTGACCCCAAACTCAGATCTAGGTACCAGTGCCTCATGGAAATATCCTCAATAATTCTGAGTCCCATCCACTTGCAAGAAGATTATTCTGACATACCTGTGGACAGCCCCACTCCTCAGAGTTATCTTTTCCGTGACCATCTGCAGTACATGATCCCACTGATTCAAGGCTTTTCTAGGAATGAGGAGTCGAGAAGCTGGGTTTATGAGGTCTCCATTTGCAATCAAGCTGAAAAAAAGGCAAAGCCAGTGAGACAAACCATTTGACACAGTTATGACTTTAAAACTACAAAAGAAGTCCCAAACCAAAAGGAAACCAACACTAATTCTGACCCAAAACATGAAGGATTCCAACTCACAAGATAGTGCAGGGTTCCAGAAGTGGTTTTCTAAAGCGAGATGACACATTGATCCTGCTGTGGGTTACTGGTTTTACCTTTAAAAATAAAGTAATACAAATCATTGTACTTATGTTAGTGTTTTTTTTTTCCTATGAGGAAAAACTAGAGGTTTCCAGGGAGCTGGCTGAGAACTGCGATGCCTTTGTTAAAACCTTGCTTTTTCCCCCCCTTGTATATAAACCCTCTGGGCTCACCCTCTATCAATGGCATATAGCTTTAACAGAGCTCTCAAGAAAGATTTCCTTTAAGCCCTGGCATACTGCTCACGATCTATACCAAAAACTGAAACTGTTGAGCTATTGTGAGAATTCCAAGGCCATTTTTAAAATAGTTCCTTTCAGTCAAACAAAAGTAAGTAAATGTATAAAATTTTGAATGAAGTGCCCTCCCCCTCCAGGCACGACATAGTGTTTGGTCATCTCTGCCCATCCACCCACTCCCTAGAGTCACTGGGTCCCCACCAGGCACTTAATCCCATCCTGTTCTCCAAAGACTGACTCCATCAACTTTTCTCAGCTTCACTTCCTCCTCCGTTCACCAGCCACACTCTAAACAGCACGTTCCCTTCCCAACCCCCCTTGCATCGGGGTGGGTCTGGTCATCTTTCTGGCCCCTTTTGTTTTCAGGGTCCAAGGTGTTGTATCGAGAACCACGTGGCCCCTCAGGCACCTTCGACTAAGACAAGGCTTTGGCATTGGTCAAGCCTCTCCTCCTCCCAAATCAACTATTTCTTACATTTCCCACAGTGCATTGTCCAAATCCCCACCTTTCACCCTAAATCCTAAAATCTCACTCCAGGCACACTTACTCTCAGCACATCATCTCCTTCCAAACTTCAAGAGAATAAAGCTCAACAGGCACGAAGGATCTTAACCTCACTTCGCTTCAAGCTCACTTCATCTACATCTTCACCACTTTTCTCCTTTGCTGTCTGTTTCAGAAGGATCCTGACCCCTTTACAAAGCTAAGTCTGCATGTCTTGATTTTGTCCCCTGCTGCCTGTTCCATTAAATATGTAAGGCCCTCCACTCCCATTGTTTTCAATTTCCTCCTTGACCCTGTGGCCCTTTCTCTCCTCTTCATCATTCCTCTTCCTATTTCCTTCCACCCCATCTTCTCCTCAGTCTTCTACTATCTGGATTCCAGTGAAAGATAAATCCCAACTCTTTATTTTTCAATTCGTTAATTTTTTATTTTTGGCTGCCCTTGAGCTTCATTGCTTCATGCACCAGCTCTAAGGTGCATGAACTTCAGCATCTGCAGCACACGGGCTCAGCTCATGGGCTCTAGAGCGCGGGCTCAGTAGTTGTGGCACATGGACTTAGTTGTTCTGTGGGTGTGGGATCTTTCTAGACCACGGATTGAACCTGTGTCTCCTGCTTGGAAGGCAGATCCTTGACCACTGGACCACCAGGGAAGCCCTAAGTCCCAACTCTTAAGCTTGGCCTACAAGGACCCCCATGACCAACCACTGTTACTAGCTTCCCTGACCTTCCACCAAATACTCCTTCCTCCACAACCCCTAGGTGTGACTTTAGGTCGAACCAGCCGGCCCCCAATCCACTGCCCAAACACATTCTGAATCCTCTTCCACACCTCTGCTCATCTTGCCCCTGCCTAAAATGCCCTCCCCCTTCTTCCAGCTGCTGAAATGCCACTCGCTAACCAACACCCAGCTTAGTTATCAGCAGTCCTTCTCTGTTCATCCTTCTTTAACTTCCTGTCTCAAACTGCTGCGGCTACTATGGGATTGCTGATCACACTTGCTTAGAGGGCTTTTTTCCCTTTCTGATTTGAAAGGGAACTGATTAATGAAAATAGCCAACATTTACTGCACTATATTTAATGACAAGCCCTATACTAAGTAAAGGCATTATATATCATTAGAACATCAAAACCATGCCCTGAAGTAAGTACCCTATTTGACAAAGAAACTAGAGGTTAATCATTTAATTTGCCTAAAGTCACACATACTAAGGGGCAGAGTTGTCCACACCTATGAACTTCTACTTGCTTTGCACTTTGGTAGTTAAAGATAAATTAACCCTAAATAATTTATGCAACTCTCTTCTGGAAAATTATGCCATTTTGAGAAGAACAAGGGGCAAACTTCTTGACTTGCCAGTGCCTAAAACAGCGCATGGCAATGCCTGCTAATTGCACAATAAATGTTTACCAAAATTTAATTTAAAAAACTAATTTAGAGTAAACATTTTTTAATCAATCATAACAATTTTCTTACATTTTTTTAAACCCGGAGATTCTTGGCCCTAAGCTAACATTTACAGTGATGTTGACTTTTTTAAAAAGTTTAACAGATAATGTATGCACCTGACCAAAATTCAAGTGGTAAAATGGAGGATACAGTGAAAAGGAGGAATATCCCCACCTCTGGTGCCCCAACCACAAAGCTGAAACTAACTTAACAATGGTCATTCAAAGACAGCCTACACCTGCATATTGTCTTATGTAGACATTTTATACATGTAATTTTTAAACACAGGGATCACTTGCTATGCCTATTCTTCCACACCTTGCTTTTTTTCATTTAACAATTCACCACAGAAACTGTCTCACATTGGTAGAGTAAAGGTTGCTTCATTCTTTATAAAAGCTATGTATATCCACGCTGTGAATCTACCATAATTTATTTAATCTGTCCCTCAATGAAAATCCTTCCACTTGCTTCTAAACTTTCGCTCTCGCAGGGAATTCCCTGGTGGTCCAGTGGTTAAGTCTCCATGTTTCCACTGTGGGGGGCACAGGTTGGACCCCTGGCAGGGATCCTGAATGCCACATATTTGGCCAAAATAAGTAATAAACTTTTGCTGTTGCAAATGATGCCATGATAGATTTCCTCACAATAGTTATTTGCATGAATATGTAAATGTATCTGTCAGTTCAGTCACTCAGTCGTGTCTGGCTCTTTGCAACCCCATGGACTGCAGCATACCAGGCCTCCCTATTCATCACCAACTCCTGGAGCAGGCTCAAATTCATGTCCATCAAGTTGGTGATGCCACCCAACCATCTCATCCTCTGTCGTCCCCTTCTCCTCTTGCCTTCAACCCTTCCCAGCATTAGGGTCTTTCCCAATGAGTCAGTTCTTTGCATCAGGTGGCCAAAGTACTGGAATTTCAGCTTCAGTATCAGACCTTCCAATGAATATTCAGGATGATTTCCTTTAGGATGGACTGGTTGGATCTCCTTGCAGTTCAAGGGACTCTCAAGAGTCTTCTCCAACACCACAGTTAAAAAGCATCAATTCTTCCACACTCAGCTTTCTTTATAGTCCAACTCTCACATCCATACATGACCACTGGAAAAACCATAGCCTTGACTAGATGGACCTTTGTTGACAAAGTAAAGCCTCTGCTTTTTAATATGCTGTCTAGGTTGGTCATAACTTTTCTTCCAAGGAGTAAGCGTCTTTTAATTTCATGGCTGCAATCACCATCTGCAGTGATTTTGGAGCCCAAAAAAATAAAGTCTGACACTGTTTCCACTGTTTCCCCATCTATTTCCCATGAAGTGATGGGACCAGATGCCATGATCTTAGTTTTCTGAATGTTGAGCTTTAAGCCAACTTTTTCACTCTCCTCTTTCACTTTCATCAAGAGGCTCTTTAGTTCTTCTTCACTTTCTGCCATAAGGGTGGTGTCATCTGCATATCTGAGGTTATTGATATTTCTCCCGGCAATCTTGATTCCAGCTTGTGCTTCTTCCAGCCCAGCGTTTCTCATGATGTACTCTGCATATAAGTTAAATAAGCAGGGTGACAATATACAGCCTTGACGTACTCCTTTTCCTATTTGGAACCAGTCTGTTGTTCCATGTCCAGTTCTAACTGTTGCTTCCTGACCTGCATACAGGTTTCTCAAGAGGCAGGTCAGGTGGTCTGGTATTCCCATCTCTTTCAGAATTTTCCACAGTTTATTGTGATCCACACAGTCAAAGGCTTTGGCATAGTCAATAAAGCAGAAATAGATGTTTTTCTGGAACTCTCTTGCTTTTTCGATGATCCAGCGGATATTGGCAATTTGATCTCTGGTTCCTCTGCCTTTTCTAAAACCAGCTTGAACATCTGGAAGTTCACGGTTCACGTATTGCTGAAGCCTGGCTTGGAGAATTTTGAGCATTACTTTACTAGCGTGTGAGATGAGTGCAATTGTGCGGTAGTTTGAGCATTCTTTGGCATTGCCTTTCTTTGGGATTGGAATGAAAACTGACCTTTTCCAGTCCTGTGGCCACTGCTGAGTTTTCCAAATTTGCTGGCATATTGAGTGCAATACTTTCACAGCATCATCTTTTAGGATTTGAAAGAGCTCAACTGGAATTCCATCGACTCCACTAGCATTGTTTGTAATGATGCTTCCTAAGGCCCACTTGACTTCACACTCCAGGATGTCTGGCTCTAGGTCACACCATCATGGTTATCTGGGTCATTAAAGTCTTTTTTGTATAATTCTTCTGTGTATTCTTCCCATCTCTTCTTGATATCTTCTGCTTCTGTTAGGTCCATACCACTTCTGCACTTTATTGTGCCTATCTTTGCATGAAATATTCCCTTGGTATGTCTAATTTTCTTGAAGAGATCTCTAGTCTTGCCCATCCTATTGTTTGCCTCTATTTCTTTGCATTGATCGCTGAGGGAGGCTTTCTTATCTCTCCTTGCTATTCTTTGGAACTCTGCACTCAGATGGACATAGCTTTACTTTTCTCCTTTGTCTTTTGCTTCTCTTCTTTTCTTAGTTATTTGTAAGGCCTCCTCAGACAACTATTTTGCCTTTTTGCATTTCTTTTTTGGGGGATGGTTTTGATCACCGCCTCCTGTACAATGTTACAAACTTCCATCCATAGTTCTTCAGGTACTCTGTCTATCAGATCTAATCCCTTGAATCTATTTATCACTTCTACTGTATAATCATAAGGAATTTTATTTAGGTCATACCCAAATGGTCTAGTGGTTTTCCTTACTTTCTTTAAGTCTGAATCTTGCAATGAGTTTACCTGTAGAATATACTCCTGTATCTGTAGAATATATTATTAGAATTGAGAAACTGCTGAAATAAAGAAGAGGCAATTTTTTTCAGTTTAATGGAATGTACTGCAAGCTTTATTCTTGATTGATCCCAAGTCACTTGATTTATTTAGCTCATACTATAGCATAGCCTTGGAAGAAACGCTATGACCAACCTAAACAGCATATTAAAAAGCAGAGACATTACTTTACCAGCAAAGACCAGTCTAGTCAAAGCTATGGTTTTTCCAGTAGTCATGTATGGATGTGAGACTTGGACCATAAAGAAAGATAAATGTTAAACAATTGATGCTTTTAAACTGTGGTGCTGAAGAGGACTCTTAAGTGTCCCTTGGACTGCAAGGAGATCAAATCAGTCCATCCTAAAGGAAATCAATCCTGACATTGGAAGGACTGATGCTGAAGCTGAAACTCCAATACTTTGGCCACATGATGCGAAGAACTGGCTCATTGGAAAAGACCCTGATGCTGGGAAAGATTGAAGGCAGGAGGAGAAGGGGACGACAGAGGATGAGATGGTTGGATGGCATCAAGGACTCGATGGACATGAACTGGAGAAAGCTCCAGGAGTTGGTGATGGACAGGGAAGCCTGGTGTGCTGCAGTCCACGGGGAGGCAGAGTCAAACATACTGAGCAACTTAGCCAAACTGATAGCATAAGAAAGTATGCTATTTTCTGGAAAATATTCCAGAATTATTTAACTGCAAGTGAATCTTTGCATGTTTGAAGGACAGGCCTTTCTGATTCCACATCTATGCATATCTTTCTCATGAAACCCTCCCCATCTCTGAATACTGCCGCCCTGGCCACTGGGCTTAAAACTTCTGCCACATCCCTGGTT